AAGAAATTTTTGTATTAATAAAATATTTTCTAGTATATATGATATGATATGATATGGATAGTGTGATATTTTTTTCTACTTTTTTGAGATAAAAAGAAAGGATAAAAATTATATGAGAAATTATCGAAAAGGATACTTTTAAAGGACAAATTTTATCATAAAAATTATGAATTGCTATGATGGAATTTTCGCAGAATGGTATTTTTTTTTTCTTTTAATTTAATTAATTAAAATCTAAAATTTTTAAAAATGAATTATATCAAATTTTTAGTATTAAAAATAAAAAAAAAAAAAGGAATGAAAATAATATTATGAAACTAATCGATGTATTAATAGGAGAAAATTTTTGACATAACAATAAAATACGAATAAGAGAAGAAGTATGATTTAACCTATATTAGTTACAGCATTTCAATGAACACAGTATATAGCAAATGCTATATCATTAAAGTAGTAGCGTAGCAAATTAACGTAGAATTATTAAATCACAAAATATCATTGTTATAATACTATCATTATATTAACACTAATAAAAAAAAATATATAATACGTTGTCATTTTAATACTTCATTATCATTCTTTTAGTATCATTAACTAATATTTCATTATCCAATATATGCCTGATAAATTTTATGATCGTCTGTCTACTACTATCAATCGTTTTTGTCATTTTCAATCAAGAAATATACGATCATTAATATTTTAAAGGGAAGAAACAAAAAAAAAAATAAAAGAATTTAAAATGATGTAAATTAACACTAATACGGATAAATTGTCACTTCTATCCTATCCAATCATTCTTTAAACTTTGTATTTCAATTATTGCCAGCCGATATTGCCTTCTTTCCTTCTTTCCTTTTTTTCGCATCTATTATTTTCTTTTCTTAACCTCTTTAATATATATATATATAAAACGTACCTATATGTCTTACAAATATTTGAAAAACACAAAAAAGAAAGGAAAAAGGCATTAGATATGTGAAAAAGAGAGAAAGAAAAAGAGAGAGAGAGCGAGAGAGAGGTAAATGATTTAATTCAAATTTAACCAAACATAAGCCTCTAAACTGTACCTTTAATTCTATTTTTTTTTTAATTAGAGGAAAATAATCATCCGATTAATATATCCCATCTGATGTGGTGTCAATAAATGAAGCACAAAATTTAGGAAAAAAGTAGAAGATGGATAAGAAACATCTGTTTCAACCAAAATGATACGACATAAAACATTGCGTTGAATGGTACCTTCACCGATCAGAGTTGTTAAGCTGGCGAATTCTACAAAGTTTTTGTTTTTCTTTTCTTTTGAATATGATGAATGTAATTAATGAATAAAGATAACCTGTTATGATAGTAACATTTTGATAAATTCCAAAAAATATATATAACATTAACAGATCATTAATATCATCAGTAATAGTAGTAACAAAAATAATAGCAATGGTAATAGTAGTAGTACTAGTAGCAGTAATATCAGTTATTGTTGTTGTTTTTCCGATATAACATTAATAATGTTTATTTCAATTTTTTTTAAACCAATATTATCTAATTAAAAAAAAAAAAATGATAAATTACAAGATAATTCGTTTTTGTATTATCAGCACAATAATTAAGTGTAATAGAAGCAAAATTGTGGAATAAATAATGGTAAAATGTTGACATATTAATATATAGATATATATATTGCTTGAAGATGTAATATCCAAATTGAAGATCCAAACTGATAAATGGCCGTTGTTGAATGAATTGCGAGAATGATGCTAAACAAACACCGTAATGAGGAATTTCTTTAAATTAGTTTCACCTTATTAGGTTACTTCGAAATAACTCCCTGTAACAAACGATTTGTTATGATGATGATGATGATGATGATGAAAATGATAACAATAATGATAATGATGATGATGATGATGGTGATGATAATGATGATGAGAGGTGGAGATGAGTGACAGGCAGCAATATATATATATATATATATATATATAAGGGGGTAGATTGAAAAGTAAAGAAGAGGGGATGAAGATAATAAGGAAGAGGAGGAGGAAAAAATGAAGTAAGAGAAGTAGAAAGGATGTATTCATAGAATCATTCCTTCTCTTAACTTTCTTTTATCTCAACTTTCCATTTATCCTCTTCCTGTCCTTCTTCATTTTTAACGCTTCTATTCCTTCCCTCCTCAAACCACATCATTAACCCCTTTACTATTCTATCCTTTAAGATTCATTGAATTTCCAATTGATGATATTTCCCTCTAACACATATACTAAGCTAAACATCTCAGACGTTCCTACAAATGACCCTAAAATCCCTTGGCTTAGCATTTCAAAATTTCTAGTCTTTTCACTCGTTGTGTTCCTCTGCTTTCAGTGTTGGTTTGAAAACGAATACTGAAACTACGAAAAGTACGATTGCAACAATTGTTACTGCTAATTACTATATAATAATTATTAATAATTATTATTATAAATAATAATGACAAATAATTATAGTATGCTTGACATATAAAGGAAAGGTCTAATGTTAAATTTTTGGTGCGATATAGATGAATGTAGAATATATGTTTATATATAACAAGTACACGTAAATGAACACGTAAATAATTGACTTATAGTCGTATTTATCTTTATGTTTATATTAATCGTATATTATTTCATGATCCTCTTCATAACAATTCTGATACACAGTAATATAACGAATTTATCTTTTTTTTTTTACCTTCTTAATAATTGTTTTGTAAATAAGAAATGATATTATTTGCGTGCTTATAATTTATGCTTATCTTCTAATTCAATTATAAACGAAATTAATTACATTAAGAGAAAAAAGAAAGAAAATGAAAGCATTTTACTTTCACGTAAATTTCTATGATAATAGAAATAAGAAATGATTTCTTATCTCTATTGATTTTATGCTTTAAACAAATTACATTACAGTCAGCTCAAAAGTAGGTAGATTGAAGGATTAATGACGTTTACTAACATATTAAATATTCACATCTCTATGGATCTATTGAAATATAGTACAAGTTTGAGAAATATATCGGAAGTCAATTATAAAAGCAACGCTGGGTATAATCTAGCCTCATAATAATCACTGCAATTACTAAATCGGCCGATAATTAATGTTTTCAACGGGATAGGAATTTCAAGTTATTAGCATAAAAATGATAAAATACCCAGACCTAAAGTAATATCTAGCTTACGCCGCAAAAAAGAATCAATTCCTAAGCAATATATTATGAGTAAAAAAATGCATATGTTTAAAATCTCCATTGTAATGTGCCTGATTGATTACACATTTACATTCTTATGCCATGCAAGAAAAATGAAAAAAAAGGAACGTAAATTATGATGGAAGCACTCTTAGATAATCTCTTTAAATTGTTCATGAAATTTCAATAATCTTCTTAAATACGAGATGTCGAAGAAATAATTTGCGATGAATCATTCATTAGCATTGAATGTTGACGTCTAAATCGGAAAATTATATTTCAGATGTTCTCAATTTAACAATGCGGACTTTATTGCATTTACATTTTTGACGTTGACTTTCGCATCATTTCACTTTATCAAACCAAACAGCGAACAGTAAAATCAAGCAACTCAAATGCATCTGTGTGGTACATAAAGTAAAGAAAATGCATATTTCGCCAATACCAGCAGATTATATATGATCTACAAAAATGTCGACACCAACATCTCATTTCTTCGTTTGATTAAAATAATCGAGTAGAACAAGTATTTGAATTTTACATACAACCACGTACACAAGATTCTATGTATCATAACAGTTAAAAAAATAACCGAAATTAATACTAGAGAATTTCTGTAATTAGAGAAAAGAATAAATTCTTTAAATCCCGCAAATTTTTAAAAACACATATGAACCAAATTTACTCAGAAAAACTCAATGAAAATTTATATTCGCAGTACTTTCTAACAAAGCATAAGGAAAATAAAATTGGAGACAACAAATTCCAGTAAATAACATCAACAGTTAACAATGATAACGTTAGAGTATATATACGATAAATGTAATTAAAGAAAAAATGCAAAAATTCAAATTGACGATCAACGTCGAACCGATTTAGAAAGTGATTTAGTCGAGAAATATTAGAATGCATCTTCTGTAATCACTGATTTTCGAACAGTTCGCTAAAATAATAGTCGTATGAACTAATTTAAGGGTATTCTAAATATAGGATAAACACGAGATTTATTTATCAAGTAACGATTGTGTAATAATCACGTTTGTGATCCGAATTATACTTTGCACTATCGCAATGCACCCTTTTCATAAAAGAATGGGATGGAAACGCAAAAGTTATTAGGACTTTTATTCCACTTTTATTTAGAAAATCTGAAATATTCTCACCTATTAAGGTACAAATAGACATATCCACAACGGCATCTGTCCAACACTGATTTTTCATCAATAGGTGCGATTGACTCATCGTTGCAGAATAACCAGCGTCTCGATTTATTACACCAAACATCACATATATAGTGACCTATACCGAAAAATGATTCTCTTTTAAATTTCCCGATACTTTTTTTCGTGGGCTTTTCCTTCACTGGTCAAGTCGAAGGTCGAATCAGTCCACAAACTAAGGAAGGTTAGAAATTTGAATCGAAACTAAATCTCCAAAACATCAGCCAATTTATATAGGAAAAGATATTTTAAAATGTATTTAAAACTTTTAAATATACAACCACAATTACTTACCACTGTTTGCTGTTTGTCCCAAATGACTCACGACAGATATTAGTCGATACGACGCCCCCGTGTTATCTTCCTCAAAAGAAATTCATCAGTTATGCACATCATTATAATGTCTTTTCCGACTACGCGATACTCATTTATTTTTAAGTGAGAGGTGACTCACTCATATGAGTAATATAAGGACTGATTTTAACTAGAAAAGCAAAAAAAATGGAGCTGAAGTTTCATGGCACGATCCATTCACAACTGAATTTTCTATTAAATGGTGCTTTTCAATAGTTGAGTCAAAAAAAACGTATAAAACTTACATGAGTGGCAGCAGCCGCATCACAAATCACATCAGCGTTATTGTCATGAACATCCTAAATTAAAATATTCGCATTAAGAAAATACGGAAAGAAGTCGGACAGACAAGAGCGGGAAATTTCACAATGTCAACATTCCTTTTCTCCCATTTGGAATCCTACTTCATAAGTGCAGAGAATTTCAGTGAGGATACTTCATGATGCTTGCACCACGGAAGTTTATTTTCATTATAGAGAATGTGGAATATTGTGCTTATAGAACAATTAAAAGTGAAGATTTTATAAGCAAACAAATTTACCTCCGGTTGAGCATTTTCTTGCATAAAATTGGTATCACTGCTATCATCTGAGTTGCTGAGTACGATATTTTTGAGGAAGATTTCATTCTAAATTTAACTTTTCATAATGAAGCATCATGAAATCACAACAAGCCACTTACTCGTATCAAAAACTTTGCGAGCTTATAACTTTTTCTATAATAGAGTTTTCGACAGTGATAAAATCGTAAGACAGAAATTTTCTGTACCGAAGGTGTAACCACCGGAGAAAACAGACAATGGTCGTACATCAGATAGACACCCTCGTTTTCACCAATGCAATAGTCTTCAATATTTATTTCTAAAAATTTCAATACGTATTAATTGAAATTTCGAGAAGTCCAAAGAAAACTGAAGTATGACAAATTATGTTAATTATTCAGACATCTCAAATCCTAGACAATTTTGAAAGAGGTTTAAAACAAGAAAAAATTAGGCTTCATCTACTCGCATATTCTGAGAAAATTTCTGCACCAGATCATTGTCTCTAATACCACTACATATTCTCAGTCGCTTAATTCGACTGATTTTTTTTTGATTCGAAAACTTGTGAAGAATGAAATTTTCTGAATTTTTGAACAGCGCAAAATAAGCATAAATATGTATACACTGGCTTACCTTCCCACTTGCCACCGATCTTCCGAAACTTAGGTCTATAACAAAGCCACTGTTCCTTGTAAAAAACCCAAACATCAACATTAAACATTGTTGCAAAAGCGTAAAGTTCCAGATCACCTCCTAAACCAGTTTCTGCTAACAATCTCATATGACAAGTCCAGTTGTCATATGTCCAATCCTTTATTGCAGCGAATTCATCTACATGTTCCATTTCAAAGCCAATAATCTAGAACATAAGAAATTACTAATAATTATTCGTAATTATGGGCTAATTTTTGAAACTTTTGACAGTCTTTTTCAAACTAATGCTGATCAAAAATATAATTACAGATTCTCGGAGCACTTTGTGATCGCTTTCACTACCAGCAACATAAAAAGCCAGCGAATGAAAGAGACAGTTACATTCCCCTTCGATATCAACCAGTTGAAGTGGTTTGTCGGATATATCCATCTCTATAACTGAAGACTGAACCCTGAAATCTATCGCTAATCCAGCGCATTTAACTCAATGAACCTAACAAAACGGTGCAAACAGCTGTAGTGATGTGGAAGTGACAATGAATGAGTCGTGTAGGGACACGATACGATATATATCCAAACTTACTGTCTTGCTCTGCACCTTAAGCTTCAAATGTACAACCGACAAGTGTTAGAAGAACTCCAGACAGATGATACATCAATTAAGACATTAAGAGATACATGAGGAAACATAGCCGTGCAATCACCGGCTGCTATTTTGAGTAACTGGAAAATATTAGTACCATTGGTTAATTACTGTTAGAAGTAATGGATTCCTACTTAAACAATACTCAAAATTGGAATTGAAACTTGCATCCAATCGGCATTGAAATCCATTCCAAGATACATACAAATGGCTTGTCGATTCTCACAGCTTAACGGTATGAATGGAACTGGCTGTGGACCAAATATATCGAAGACTTCCTTCTTTAACAATAAAAACATTGCCAAATAAGAATCAGTTTTCTAAGAAATTTTGCATTTTCAACAATCTGATTAACTTGCTTCACTTTTTACATTCTTTAAATAAAAAACATTGAAGATCTCTTTGAAGTTCACTGGTTCCAAACTTCACTTCATCACAGGAACCCTTAAGCTCATTCTCTATAAATGCTTTATTACTTTCTTTGTAGAATTCTTATAAATTGGTAAGGTTTTCGGTAGATTTGTGATTGGTTACTTATGAGCTATCGTTTAGAAGACAAAACTCCAGATCCGAAAATCTTTACATCATTCAAAGTTGCTCACTTTTTCTAATGATTCTACCATATCTTTAATTTGAGCTCAAAGCTTACTCCGTCTGTGCTTGAAAGATCGTCACTGATAGTGCTCTGCGATGATTCCTCTTCTGAGTTTCCAGCGCATTCTACGTCAAAATTATTTGCAGATTTGATCATTAGTTTGGAGTCCTTACCATCATTCGGAGATTTAACTGATAAAGGCGTAACTGCTTTGGCTGTAAAGGTAGAGTGTAAGTCAAGTTCGGAGGACGAAGGGACCCCTTGTGGCACGTTGGTTCTATAAAAAGAGAATATTAGGAGAAAAGTCTGAGCTATGCAAAGAAAATAAAAACATTTATTTGAAAAATTTGACTTACATAAAGCCGTCCCTTTTGCTGCACCATTCGCATTCTGAAATTTCATGTTTTAAAACAGAAATCCACCTGCAGCGGTAAGTTATTATATGTTTATTTAGTATAGAATGATATTTGTGGTGGTGTGGGAGGAAGTCCTTTTTTTACTATATTTTTCGTCTGGTATCACTCTGAATACATATAATTTAAATGAGCAATCTCGAAAAGATTGGAAAAAAGATTGTAACATCTGCAAAAGATTGGTTAGAAAGTTTCCGAGAGAACACTAAACGAAGTTTTAAAATCCTTAATGAATGTTCATTAATTATGATTATTAATTATACGTGCAAAACGATAATTTATTCAACCTCATCAACAGTGTTATCCATATTTCTCGAAGTTTTCCATACGTATTCGGGACAGAACTTGGGCTTTTCATCACTTTGATTCGTATCCTCGTACACAAATAAATCATTGCTGTTATTATTTGGTGCGATATTTTCGGGCAATTCAAGTGGTTGGTCATCTCCTTGCATTGCTTCCTCATTTGCATGAGCCGTGTTTACTTGTCCTTCTAGAGCTTCAATTCCAACCTCATCTTCATAGACAACTATCTTTTGTGCACCGTTAGAATTAAAATTCCACCCGCTTCTAAATTCTCTTCTTTGCTTTTTAAATCTCTCTGGGAAATCTTTCTTTTCTGTGGGTACTTCTACTTCCAGGTTGAGATCTCTGTTTTCGAAGGATTCAAGTGGTTCGCTTACACCTTCAGTTTCAGGAATATTTTGGTCACCTTGTTTTTTTAAATTTCCTGGATGATCTCCCGTTTCTGTAACTATTTCTTCCATGTTAAGATCTACATTAGTGTCCGAGGATTGTGATTTTTGGCTTATCAGTTTATTCACGCTTTGTTCACTTTCTTCCTTTTCAACTTTTCGTATGTAGTCTTTTGGTTCGCTAGTATTAGGAGACAATTTCTGGCTCATCAGCTCATCTGTACACTGCACATGCGATCTCTGAAACATAATCAGAATTTTTTTCTTAAAAATACCAAATAACATTTTTTTTTAATTTCCGCAATAACTACAACTTTTTGATAGCCATTCAAAGAACATCAAACCTCTTCATCGCTTTCCCGCGATATTTCCGCAGAAGTTCCACTATCTTTTTCCAATTGATCAGCAATGCTACGTTTACAGGCCTAAAACTCAACCATATTTTTATCAAAATCATAAGAGCAAATCATTATGCAAAGCAAATTTTAAAGAGATTAACCAACCGCTATAATTTGTTCTTCTTCAGTCATGAAGTACAGATCCTCATCCGTATAGTCTTCTTTTGGTGAACGCTTTTTAATGCTTAAAGTGAAGTAGAATATACTGATGAACGAAAATTATGGTCAAAATGACAAACTAACTACTCTTTCACATAAATTATTCCTACTGAACACTTGATCAAGTAAGTGCTCTTAAAGCAAACTTAGATAATAATAGTGCTATACTACAGTGCCATTACCATTTTTCTATTCTAAGTGCAGGCAACACGTAAGTCCTTGTTTCACTATGCAAAAGCAGACAATTGTGGAATGACGATAATGGAGAGAGTTTGCTACTACAGTTAGACACAGCAGTTTCTTTTTAAGACTACATCGATTAATGATATCAGAATACTTACGTTTCTATAAAAAGCTAACAGCACTGAATTAGTATTTAAAAGAGAAAATTCCAGTGAAATACCGTGGTTGATTTAGCTGTCCCTTACTAGAAAAGGAGCAAAGCAACCCCTGTTGTCGTGACATTGGTGAACGTTCTGCTTTTAAAGTAGATCCTGATTGAAAAGGTCGTTTGCCATCCTGAAAAATTAGTCTCCATTAGATTTTCGGTGTGTCGTAACATTGTAAAAAAATTAGTTTTAAAATCTGAACCATTGATTTAATTTTCAAAACCGTCATCCTTTCTATTCTTTGTAGTTGATGCATATTCTCCAAGATACACTGGTTAAAAAAAAACAAAACTTACCGGTGTAAGAACATTGATTTTTGACCCTAAATCAGCAAAATAATTCTCTCTAACTTTCACATTAGTAGTGAGATGATGTACAGCAGTAGGTTGTTCTGATTTTCCGTGACTATCAGCACTGTCAAAAACTGCACTGCACTCTCCAGCTGCATTGTAAGGAACTGAAACTGAGATTAAAAAAAAAAAAAACAGAATAAAGTTTGTAGAAAATTTCCTTCCACTTTTTCCTGGTTTTAAAAACGTTTTTCATTTATGCGTATCAAAAATTTCCGCTTCCAATTCGTGAAGTTGGTTAAAATTTTGTTCTCCTTTATTGCTCCCCATTTTTAATTCAAGTACACTTTTGACAAGCTTTATTCACCTGCAGCCTTCTTGCCCGTTTCAATTTCTCCAGCTTCTTTTTCTCCATGGTCTGCAGTTGCTCGTGAAGCACTAGCTACAGTAAGACTGTCTAGATCAGTTGCGACGGCCTTTAGATCGCCCTTCCTGCAGGATTGTGAATCATTTTTGGCTGATAGATTACGCTAATTTGCCCTATCAGTGTTTTCAACACTGAAGTGTTTTTACAGTTCTTGTTATCTTTTAATATAAACAAATTTTAAAAAAAAGTCCAGGATATTATTATGATGTTTCCTACCCCATTAATTTAAACTAAAACCACTTCAAGCCGTGTTAATTTGTGTGATTATTACGATCTCTCTTGTAGGAAATAATGCTCTAAAAACATAGAGTATTAGCTTTGAGGAAGTTTTCAGCTTTGTGCGAAAAAATGACAGACGCTGAAGCCTGGTTTACATGTGAAACGGTATTAAAGGAAAGAAATTACGTCCTAATAAAGGATCAGCGTTAAAAAAAGAACAAGACTTAAAATAGTACCATCGTTCGTTTGACAAACTTTTCAAATCAACCGGCTTCTTTTTTTCCTCTTTTTTCGCTTTTTTTAATGTTTCAATGAAATAATATACACGCTCATTCGCAATATTTCGACTTTTACCCTGAAATATTAAGAGAATATTTTGTCTACAACCGTTAAGATATTTCTTTCTACTTCCTTTTTTCCCTTTGATAATCTATTTCCCTACCACTTTCTCTTATAAGACCTCTTACCTACTTCTCTCTCATGTTGCTGCTTGCAGCACTAGAAGTACATCAAACAAACTTTTATCCTTTGCCTAACCATATCCGAGAGAAAATCGGAAATGTACTTCGGACGAAGCAGGTCGGATGTAATCGTGATCAAGAACACTGCTGTGCGGAATAGGCATAGAATGCACGAGTAAATCGTCTGAATTTTTATCGCCACTAGTAAGCATATTGCCAGACATAACGCTCTTATCGATGTTCTTGTCAACTGTATTTAAAGGAACTGAAATCAAGAACTTCCATTGTCTACTTAATTCTAACAAAAATAAAATCAACTGTCTCTTAGCCAATCTTATTCTATTTGAATATAATTCCTGCGGAATAGACAAATTATTTTAAAAAAGAAAAAATTTAAAAGAAATTAAAGAAAATAACGAAGGAAGCGTCTCTTCACGAATTAACCTTTATCCCTACTTGGCGGATAGTATTTACTTGATGCAATCTCCCTATCAGTTTTTAAAGCTCTCCAACTCTCAGTATGAATAATTTCCGGAATAGCTCTCGCAGAAGAGCTTGGAGTGATGGATTTTGGAAGAAATCTTGGAGTTCCAGTTTTACTCGGTCCTGCAGCTTCAGCTGATGAGCTGCTCACTCCTTCTGCATCCGTAGACGTGTTGTTGAAAAATTCTCTGATACCCCGAAACAAATTTATTTTGAGCTTCTTAGCAGTCTTGAAATCGATATTCCTGAAATGAAAACTTATAATTCTGAAATGTTTTTATTATCACTCATCTTCTAACCCAATAAATTTCACTAAATATTTTTCAAAAACCAAAAAAAGCACCCCTGACAGTCAAACAATCACCTGGTAGTTGGCGATAAAGGCGGAAATGGAGCTGCTTCTTCGACAAAACCCTCATTCAACGTCAAGTACAACGGAATTCCAACTTTATCCTCACGTTTTACAGCAACGGATGCATTGAACATATAGCGCTTTAAAAATACGATCAGACATCTAAAATAAAAATTGGTATGGAAAGAAAGCAAAGACATAAACATATTAAATTTACAATTAACGTTAATAAAATCACAGTTAAATGAAAATAAGATTATCTTGGAATTCGAGTAAATTTTTGGCTTTTCTCTGCGTTCGAAAAACCGCAAATTTCGCATTTTTTTTCCACTTGCTCTATCTTTAAGTATTCGTCTACCATAGTCTGTACTGTGACGAATTTTGAAGCTTCTGTTGGCCTAGAAATAAAGAATTAACAAAATCTTTTCTTCAATCCATCCAAATTCCTTTTTGAAGACTACCAAGTTGAGGCACAATGGCCAAGAAATAAAGTAAGAAACCAAATAAATATTTTCAAACTTTAACCAAGCAAATCTCCCTCGAATCTTAATTAGAAAACTTAATTAATTAGAAAAAACTGATTTATGATCATGCTCCCTTACCGAGCAACATCTTGCTCCAGCATCTGGAATGAGACCGGCAAAATAACACTTTCTTCTTCGTTCTTTGTAACAGTTTTACATCTGAATTGATTTCCCCATGAACAAAATTTGATGGATAAATATTTCCATTGAAATTGAAGAAGAATATTCGAGGCATAGATGACAACTAGCTTGTCCTTTGCCACGAAGAGCAAATAGATTAGAAAGACCTGTTGCATTTTATGGTGGATTCTATAACGAAAGCAAAATTCGATGTCACTGGATTTTTTCTGGCTCGTTCTTGTTTATCCGCAATGTCATATTGCTTACACAACATCCTATCACATTCCTCTTGGATGTAATTCAAAATGCTAACTAAGAATTCATGAGCATCCTGCAATTAAAAGATTTTCCACAAAAATTTCTATTGAATTAGTCGATAAACTGAAGTTGTATTTGATAAAAGTGTTCAGTACAACCATTCGTCTCACTTTGTCTTTGCATTGTCGTGATATTTTATAATGTTTGGAAAGCTTTTCCTTTTGCCTATAGAAATCAGTAGGATAATCAACAAAACAAATATTAAAATGTCAAACAAGTTTATTTGAAATTGGAAGTAATGTTACCCAAATACATTTACTTCAAAATGTCTGATGCAAGTTTAAAAACCAACCTGTTGCGCATTATTCAAGAAATGCGCCCTAGTTTTGATCATTTCTAGAAGAGCTTTCTTTAACTGAATTGTGGCGCGATGACGTCGGCTTGCAAGATTAGCAACTGCTCTAAATAACTTGTGATGTTCCTGTCTTACATATCCATTTGGCACAAAAAAACCTTTGAAGTCTCATCGCAATATAAAATCTGAGATAGGATTTTGATCTATATATATTCCGTAAATTAGAATTCATCTTTGTTAGCACTTATGGCAGTATTCATATATAATACTCAGAAAACATTAGTCAATCAACAAATTTGCATCAATGGCTAGCTGCTTAAATGGATTGGCAGAAAGAGAAGCTCAGTATCATCTGGATTATATAAGAATTATTCGCTTCAGAAACTTAGCAGATAAGTGCTGGATTTGAATGATTTTTCACTCTTCGCTTCAGATCAAACACATCTTGCAATCAAAACCTTCTTGATTACTCGTTTCTTTTTTAAGAAAAAGAAGGTAAAGAATAGAAAAGAGAAAATGAAGTTAGAAGAGAAATAAGTAATTTGCTAACAAACCCTCTAAAATTCATGAAGGTGCAAAACAAAAATTCAATACGTACAAACTTAATGGCATTTCTTCATCCAAATTCAAGCCAAGTTCCTCGACCATTTTACAAAATTTGAAAAGATCTTTTGTAAAAATAGCATCCGCGAATACACCTTGGAGTATGGAGTTCATATAACATGTATTACCAAGATTTGCGAATCTATAATATCCAACTGGCGTCGTAAATTATTAGCAAAATGATATGCATTCAATCTACATAAAGCTGAAATACGATAAAAGCAGAGGGATAAAACTGTGATTTACATACCCTGATGTCTCCACATTACCAATTCCCAAAACACCAATACTACCGCTACGATCCTGCAATTAACATCTATAAAAGATCAGTATACAAATGACCCGATGACTCGCCTAAAACAACCTGCATCATATGTTCTTGAAGTGTCATCTATATTGATTTTAGACGCACCAAAAAGAATTTCAAAATGTAAAAAAGAAATGATGATGGCACACTGTACTACAAATCATGGACTACGTACTTTTCCAGATGGAGATATTCCATCATAAAAGCTTGCTAAACTCACTCCACGCGATCCGGCGGAATTTCTTGACCTGGAAATAACAGAAAAATCAATGAACTTAAAATGAGATCAAAAACAAAAATTTACACAGGAGCGACTTACATACCGGATTAAAGGGTTTTCAACCTGCATAAGACCATACGTAATACCACTCAATGGATTAGATAACCTGGATCGTTTTGCTGTCGGTTCCATTGAAGCATCTAGCGTGAATCTGTCAAGCCACTTCTTAACTAAAACAGAAATATGAAGGAAGCAAAAAGGTGCTGCAAAAGATTATCAGGATTTCAAATTTTTTGACAAATTCCAATTTGGATGCAATTATGAAACATACCAATGTTATTAAAAATATTTATACAAAAAAAGGAATGAGAAAAACGAACCACTTTCAACATCAGCTGGATTTACATTTTGATTTCTGTCGACACTGAAAATATGAAATCTTGAAACACTAGAACAAATTCCAGACAAATGTTTGTCATTATCTAGTTATTCTAATGTTATACATCCGGGAACATAACTATACATCGAACGTAATGGTTTAGAAAAATATAATTTTGCTAGTAGATTTTCAAGAATAGCGATAAAATCATCGCAAACAATCACTTTCTTGAATTCATGGCTCCTATTCTCTTAATTAAAGTTCAAAAGCTAATTTTCTGGCGACTCTTAATACCTGTAGGGAAGACATAATATATTCAACATTTCAAGTTTTTTTGCTAAAATATCAGAATATAGATCAATGGAAAGCCTAACTGTGCGCCTTGATCCTCAAAGTCTCGACCAAGTTCTGGTAAATTCTCCGGCGAGAACTGATTACGAGCTGGTTGAAAAATTATTGAGATAAATTACACTAGGTAAACTACAAAGGTAAATAGACAAATTGCATATTAGCCAAAAATATTTCAATAACAAAGGAAATAATCTGCAAAAACCACTGCCGTGTTAGATCTTTAATAATTTGGACATTTTTATAATATTGTATAAAAAGCAGGCATAGCAGACCTTATGATCTAAAATAATGCAAAACTTGAAATTGGAATAGAAAAAGAGCATAAATTTTACTCAAGTATTTAGTTTTCAACAGTTTGTGCACCGCCATCATGCTCTGATAATCTTCAAACTCAATGACAAATACCATGTCCTCGCGACCTTTAATCCAGAACCCCAGTCTATTTTCTGATGGTGCAAACCAAGGAAAGCCTGACAAAGCACCAAAAGATGCAACCTGAAATGTGCAGGTTACATTCGACAGATATATAGAATGAAATGTTCATTTTGAAACACATTTGAAACCGTGATAATTGTAAAACTTACCAAGTGGCAATCACCAAATAAAAAAATGACTTCCTTTCGCACTTCACTCACTGTCAGAATACCCATCCTCTTCGTGGGAGCAGCATTCATTATCCCATAAATTACCTCAAAATCCATGCGTAATCATTCAGTTTCAAACAAAAATCAGGATTAAAAAGACAAAACTACATCAACTTTGAGGACACTGCTAGTAAATCTGCACACTCTCTAGTACAAAATTTGGTCGCAGAATTATAATTTAGGTTTCCTAATCCTTTATCTTATATCAAAACTCCAACAAAGGTTATAAAAATAAACTCAACAGAAATAATAATAATTCGAAGAAAAAGTCGAAAAAAAAAAGAATAAAAGAGAAAAAGAAAGACAACCTTAACACTGAATTGACCAGGCTTCAGAACCAGCGTCATCATGCTATTCCTGTGACACACTTTCCGAAAAACTTCCCTTCTTCACGATAAGTTTTCACAATAAGCTAAGAAATAATTAAAAGTAAACCAATGATCATAGAATAAGGTTTCCCGGCTAATTATTTTACCAGAAAATTCCTCAATACTTTTTGGCGGTAAGCCTTATTACTGGAGCCCACAATTAATAAGCCCAAAAGTCAGAATTTAAAGATGACTTTAATAAAAGCAAAATTCCTCGAAGAACTTTCCTCGCGCACTTATCCCTAGTTCTGGCCGACAAATCCGGGACTCTGAAAGCACGCTAACCGCTATATCTATTTAAATTTCGCAATTTCGCGGCTTTCATGAAAATTCAGTACATTATTTGAAAACTTATAGAGTTCATTTTGAGCAAGTATTTTTTTTAATGATTACTTTCCAGGTTTCAAAGTAATATGGTAATATTTCTGACTCAATTATCCTAGAGATCAAATCGCGAAATGAACAACTTAACTTATTGTGTTATAGTCATCTGAAAAATTCAAAAACTTTTGCGGAAAACAGCGCTTAAAGATACGAAATAAGCCTATTCTTTAGAGATAATGCAACTGCGATAATAGAAGAGCTTATTCAAGAGATGACTAGAAATCAACGCGAGGGTCGCATCTTAGCGCTAACAATATATCATCGACTGTGTAAGAAAGTGATGCGAGCCTTGTCGAAGGTAATAACCGTAGGAAACTTGAAAATTTCATACAAGTACAGTATGTATTTCCAGAACGGAAGGATCAAGAGAATAGATGCAAAGGAGCATTTTGTGATATTCTGAATTATTCACATGTTTTTACAGTTGATATATTTCTCCTCCAAATGGATAACAAGAAGTAGCAGAAGGATCAGCAGTCTGACGTTTTCCATGAAATTCCGCTCATTTCATTATCATAGAAAAAACAGAACAGAGATGAAAGAGATGATTCTACGAGAATTTTGGATATCGATGGCGACGGAAGGCAACAAGTTGTTGTATAATTTTGACAGCTTTTTTTTTGAGTAACAGCCAGAAGGTAGCAGAAGTGATACGTGGTGGCGTATGTAGTGATACGTAGTGGTACTGTGATACGTGGTGGCGTATGCTACAATTTTGAGACGTATCATCAGACAGATTGATGGAGGATAGACAAAGATTTGATGGATAAGACAATTTGTTTACTGATAATTCCATTCTAAAATTTACTATTTCATTTGGGCAAAGTAACCTAAATGCAATTTTTTGATGATAAATTTGGTAAATGCTGCTGAAAATCGGTTAAAGATAATGATAAAAAGAGCCGGTCGAAATATATCTCCGTTCAACAGACAACGTAAAATAGCGAAATCCTGCAGAAATGACTTACTTGAGACAAAAAAACTACAGCAAAAAAGAAACCTGGAAATGATTAATTTATTCGTAAGCTTCTAAAGCACAATGTATAACTATTCATACATGAATTTTTTTCAATTTTCATGAAAACCTCCACAACCCTTTTGGCAATCATGGAAATGAACCCACTGGTACTAGAATCGAGTCGAGTTAATACCTGCAACGTTTCACATGATAATCATAATACTTATGCGCATCTCACACATGACAAGGCTCAGGGCAGAGCCAGAGAACGTTACAGGCCAATACATTCAGTATGTAATTGTTGAATTTGAATATACTTTTGTTTTTTGGACAAAGAACAACCAAACTTTTGAATAATTTTATACTATATATTATACATCACTTTTTGTACACCGATTCATTTATTGAAGTAAACAATGTGCGATGTATATGATATTATCGGCCAGTGCATCCAATTCCCATTTGGAAGAAATGCTTATTGCATCTTAGCGCACTTTTCAATCATGACACCAATTTCATTTACTGAAATAAACAAAGGAACTCGTCAAACGCCGGATCTTCTCAAAAGTGTCACAGTGATTGAAACAGTGATGCATAGCATAAGCAAGAATTAGAACAGCATTGCAACTACAGTAATACATAGCCACAACAGCTGTATAACAATAAAACGAAGGTCACGAGTTATTGTATGGTCACGAGAGCTGTGTAAGAGTTAAAAGAAGATTAATATGCAACAATATACAGTAACCAACCACAACAATTGAATAGAGACGCAATAACAATGCATAGTCACAACAATCGTATAAGAACGGAAATTAATGTACAATAACGTATAAAATTCGTAAGAGTGTTACAAAGACGAAAGCTGATAAATCAATGAACAAAACTTCATAGCTGATATGAATAGCAACGAGAAATCTATGCTTAAATCCTCAGAGTGAAAAGCTAATAAAATTAATGCTTTAAAAATATACTGGGAATATTAAAATAAGTAACAAACGGAAAAAAGGCGAAAAATTAACACAGAAATGACGAATGATCGAAGTATGATTATGATGCCGTCTTCAGGATCATCCATTCTGGAATAGTTCTCTGAAAGATTTTCAAGTAACCAAGTTTAGTTAAAGTAAGAAAATCAGCGTTAATAAAAATATATAAGAGGCGTGCATTTAACTTGGAAATTTTTAAGAAATGACAAAAAAAGTTAACTATCCTATTTCAAGATTAATTGCCGAATTGACGTCGTCTTTTTTCCATTTCCAAGTTCTCTAGGCGCGAATATGTTATTTAACTTACAAACATTGTCTAAAATTAGCATTATCTGGTTTTTGTTCTTGGAAAAGTAATGAACTGAAAGCAAAGTCTACTTAATTTTAGAAAAAGCGCAAAACACGTTAAAAGAATGAAATTAAATGATACCATCAATCATAACATAACATACGATGATTTTAGTCGCAACGATTTAAATGATAATTGTTTCCTGAGTAACATACAATACGATCACGACGAATACAAATCCTCTTTCAAGTGATCGCGTAAAACAATAATCAATTCTAATCTCGTCCTAAACAGCTCACGCACTAAAAAAAAATAACCCACTAACCTCCAACCGCACCAAACCGCACCGCAACCCTACAATTCATACGAATAACTCATCCAAAGATATTTTAGGATTCTCCTGCTCATATTTCGTGCACTTATGCAAAAAACGTGACTTTCTACAATTTGAGCGTCCTGGCGCGAATCAAAGATTTGAATTTTTGCCCAATTGTAGTTCGTGAGTGCAATCTTAAATGTATGCTTCCTAATAGGTAGGAGGAAGCATAGGATTTCTGATGTAGGACAAGTTCGATTTTCTCATTAATTAAGAGTTACTAATTAGGATTTAGAAGGTGGTTCACTAGGGAGAACCCATTGTTTTCCTCGTCCATCTCGGAAAAACAACTTTTAGTATTTTGGTGAAGTTTTTTTGATTGAAATGCTCATTCCAGTATTGCTGTCATCAATACATACTTGATATTCTGAAGTTGAACTTTTGGAAATAAATTAATTACTGTCAGGTTTCAAGCAGAAATAGCCTTCTTACCTATCTCGGCCTTTTGCTAAAGTTTCTGCGAAGTTTTTATAAGATTTTAAGTCATAAAATTTAATTTGACTGCGCGGAATTATTTAATAGTTGCCACGATAAAGCTGGAGTTTAAGCTCAATGTTTTTAATCTTATTAAGGAACAATTCACTTCAGAACCGATAATGGACAGTTTATGGCATCCCAAATACCATCACCATAGCGCACTATCAGTGTCTGTTTTGCTAGTGAGGAATTTGTTATATTTATATTTTTGGAACGATTGCAAAATTAACATATCATTATACAAAAAATCAACATTTTTTATTGCATATAAAAGGCAAAAATATTGTTAATACGATGGTTTCTATCATTCACGCGGTACAAATAAGTTTGTCTCATACTCGTTTCTCCAATAAAATATTTTCTAGAACTCAAGGAAGTTTACTGAAATGGAAGCAGATTCAGAAACTAAACAAATGGATGCTATTTACGTAAGTAATGATTGTTTTCCAAATTATCTCATTAAATTGAAATCTTCTCCATATTATTTCCATCAGTTGCAGCCTTTTAACTTCCTTTTACAATCTGGTTTATTGTGATGGAAGCAATTTTTCAGAATCTTATTGAGGAGATTGAACAAAGCCAAAATGACGAAGCAACAAACAGCAGTGTTTTTACATCGAGCTCAGTGATAACAGTTGTGGAGGTAAATTTTCTAACATTCTCAAATGTCAACACAGGGAATATCATGCTGATCATTCTGATGTTGCTTCTGTCTATTTAGAGATGAAATATATCAGTCTGTGTGACACGAGACTAATTCTGCATGATCCTCCTCTACATTTTTTGTCTCGAATGTATGATCTGTTCAAGCTTTCATACGGTTTTTATCTTCTGCAAGTTCACACCCACTTTTTCTGCTTGCAGTAATACAAGTTTATCTGGCTTCTTTAGGCATACTCATATGGAAATATCAAGAAGCAATTAGAACAAAAACAGAAAAAGGAAGCATTCACAGAAAGCATCGAAAAATCGAAATAATTTTATAACTTTAATGTATTAAAATAGTCAAAATGTTTTGTATTACAGAACTGCTATAAAAATTTGCCTCGGATATTCTAGAATCAAATGATTAGTTACCATTTAACTTCGTTTGCTTACATAGTTTCTTGATATATGATTCTAAAAAATTGTAAATGATTAGTTTCATTTATTTCCTTAATTTTTGATTCCAAAGAAAACTATAAATAGTGCTCTTTTGAGCACACTCTATACGTGCGTCTGTTTCCAGTGTTTTGCTGCTGTCGTCAGTATCACCATCATTACCATTTAGTATTACCATTTATTCAGTCGAATCTCTTCTGAACTACTACCGCAACAAACAGTCTCAAAATATATTCCCTCTGATTAACAAGTATGAAGAATAATCGAGAGACTAACTTTATCTGTCTAGGAAGAACAACATTTCATCAAACAATAAGTCTTTAGTAAACTATTCGACTGTGCTAAGAAAATCTCTCCTTCAAAAAACATTTACAACAGAAAAATATGAGCTCAATAAGGAAAGAAGTACGTTTGTTTTTCTGAAGAGCTTTTAGTATATCCGCTTGAAACGCTACTATCATTACTAAAAAGTGTTATTTATCCTTGTCCAACTCTTACCTTTATGTTGATTTTAGAAGCTGAACGGAACGTTTGAACGTTCACAAAAGAATAGGAAGATTTAATATTTCAAATTGTACTTTTGCTCTATAGTATGAACGTCCTACTCAAAATCTTGCTCGATTATTGCGCATATCTTCTGCTCTGCAGTGTGGTAGCGAAAAGCAATGAATTAACAAAAAGAAATGCAGAACAGAAGAAAATGATTTGTAAATTAGAAATAGAGATTAACGATTTGAATAGGAATCGTTTTGGGGGCGTAAATTGATATTAAAAATATATCGTCTGTTTCCATCATTTTTGGTCACCTCATCGGCCTAAAGAATTGTATTTGTTCTTAGTGTTGTCGAACTAATTGTATTGTAATTACTGTATAATCTCGATGAATTTTTATCGTCATTTATTTGATTGTTTCGTTAAACATGAGCTTTCGAGAAGTACGAACGAAAGCTTTTTTTAGGAGAGAAGATCGTTTACTTAAAAAATCGGTGAAGTGCTGCATGACATGTAATTTCTCGAATGTGAATAATGTGCTCGTAAGAATTCACTGTCCTCAACCAACAAATGTCCAATCTTCAGACTGAGTGGTTTGTGTTACAAATCTTAAAATTGAATGTGCCTTCTCTCTGCCATGGTTCTAAAAAGAACATGGTTCTTTTTATTTCTTAACTACACAATTTTTCAATTTTGTCGATTTTTTCAGTTTGATCAACTTTGACAATATTGTGGTCTCCTGAACTACTCAGAGCGCTGGTTTCTTACTCTCCAATATTTCTTGCGTGATGAGACCTTACGAAATATTTAATAATGAAGCCATAGCTGATTTACAAGAAAAATGGATCCAAAGGCTGGAAACGAAAGTAATAAAAGAAATTCAAGATTAGCTTTATGATAGCACGAAAAAACTGCCGCTGTACTTCGCTTAATGACTTTTAATTTGCAAATCATTTTATTCGCCCTATCTTTCGTCTGACATATGTCTGATGCTCACCATTTCTTGCTATTCTTTTTGTTTTTCCCAATACCTGAATAAAAATTTTGTAAGACTTGTTTGTTTCTGCTTAAAATCTCATTTATTGAAGTTTTCAGTCGAATTTGAATTCCAAGTAACAACTTTTCTAGGAATTTGAATTCCAAAAAAATTTCATTGCTGAACTTGATTTTTTAAATGGTGTGGTTAGTCATAGTTGTATTATTTTCAAGTATATAAATATCCATTCCATTTATCTTCATTATTTTCATATTCATGTTGATAGAAATTTGAGTTTGCAATTCTGAATACCGCTACGCCAATTCTAACTCATTAAAAAATTTATTGAAGAAACGCAAAAAAAAATGAAATAAGGAATGTTACTTTTAATTCGAAAAGTTCACTGTCAATAATGACAATGGATTAGACAGTGATGCATATCCGTGAAACAAAGATGCAATTACGGTATGCGTTGAGTCACAAAAATTATACAATAGTGAAACAGAGGTTAATGTACGGTGCTGCACAGCATAATAGCCACAACAATTAAAACATAGGTGCAATGACAGTAATGCATGCCACAACAGCCTCACAAAAATTAATGGAAATTAAAAAACTAAATTTCATGAGTAGTACTAGTACGAACGAGGAATTTGCCTTGGAATCTTCAGAGTGAATAAGAAGTAATTTTTTTTAAATATACTAGAAATATAAAAATAAGTGGATAATGCAAAAAAAGAGAAATTAATTGCACAAGTTAAAGTATAGAGGCAGTTATGGCATACATTAGTCACAACGACTGTATAACAGTGAAACAGTATGTTAGTGTACGGTATTGCATAGTCGTCATAATAGCTTTATAAGAATTAGAAGGAAATTAATATACAACAACTATAGGGCCATGACACTGAACACAGATGAAATGAAATAATGTATACCAGCAAAAATTAACAAAAATTAATAAACTAAAACAACAAATGATCAAAGTGTGTTATAATACTGCCTTCGTAATCATTCATTTTCGAATATTTCTCTGAAAGATTCAAGTAAGCAAATTTAGCCGTAGTGAGGAAATTCAAAACTGTAAGAGAGATATTGATATATATGTAGTTCGAAGTTCCAGGCAATTTATTTTATTAATTCAACTCGAGGCAGAAAAAATTTTTAAAAAAATCGACGAAAAACATTTTTTTTTTGCCCAAGATTAATGATAATCCTTAAAAGGACAGAAAACTTCTCACCTGTAAAGGTAAAAATAAATGTATCCAGTGGCAGTCTTCTTTTGTACCGATACTTCACTAACTTGCTCGATCGATTCATCGTTACAAAGGTACCACTTTTTTGAATCGTTACACCAAATATTCCACACATACTGGTCTGAAGAAAACATTTATTAGCCCTTTCTTCTTCTTGGACTACTTAGCCAATAATCAAAATTATGCACAATTGTCTGGTAAACTAATTTTCAAAACGGATAAAAAACGTGTGAAACTTCAATCCAATCTATCTATAACATGACAGAAAAAAATGTTTAAGAAGCATTAACCATACCATTGTCGTCTTTTCGTCCCACATGATTGATAAATGAAATAAGTCGGTATGATAGATGTGTCATAATTACCTCAAAAACGAAGTCATTGATTACGAAGGTCCTTTTATCCAACTGCTGTGATTAATATCACAATACTTTTGTAAATACTAAGTTTTAACCCTATTAACTATCTGCAAAATTATTTGTTTTAGGAGACAGGGAATTCGAAATTTCCATAAATTTATCATAAGAGTTTTGCAAACTGCAAAAATAAATCTGTTTCGTTAGAAAAATTTGATACGGAATAACTTACACTGTCAATAGTATCCACAGTACAAAAACGTTCAGCGCTGAGCCAGTTATTCTAAATAAAAATATTCGTATTAAGATAACAAGCTCCTCTCTTCATCCTCCACATGAATTATAGAAATGTCTCTAATAACTTTACCTTTTTTGCACCCTGTGTCCCACTCCAAAAATTTATATAAAATCTCTATCATGTTCGAAATGGCAAATGCTTTCGTGCTTTTTATGTTAACAATCAAAATATCACTATTAGTTCTTGAATCCTAATAGCAAAGTATACCGAAGGTTTAAACACCGGAAAAAAGAGGCCGTTCTCGTAATGCAGATAGATACTATCGTTTTCACCAATATGATATTGCTGAATGCTCAAGTCTAAATTTAAAAAATTTTAAAAATGATGACTTACGAATTCAACAATACGACTGCTTCAGATTTCAACGGAAATGAAAGACAGAAAAGAGGTAGAGCTGTATAAATTAAAAAACTGATTCAAGTAGCACCCTAAATTTAATTTCCCAATCAATTTTCCAAGAAAGTAACAATAGGTTAAGTTAATCAGGAGGTTAAGTTTAAAAATTTAAACAAAAATTTACTTCTGTATTCGTCATTTACCACCAGAAACTTGGGTCTATAGCAAAACCATCGTTCTTTGTGAAAAACCCAAACATCAACTTTGAACATCGATGCAAATGCAAAAAGTTCAATGTCAGAGCCGTTTTCGCTATTAGCAAATAGACTGTTAAGGTGGAAATCCCATGCAGTTCTATCCCATTGTTTCAGGTGTATAAATTGAGCCCAATGTTCTAACTCAAACTCAATTATCTGGAATAGAGAATTATTTCTTTTGACGACTAACACTAATGGCTTGAGATTTGAAAATAAATAGTTTAAAAAGCTGTGTGACAATTGTATAGTACTAAATGCCAGAAGCATAGTGATATTTCTCATTTTCAAGAAATTCTAAAAGAAAATTTTTGCAAAGAATTTCTGTTGCCATAACTTTCGATATCAATGAATAAAAAAGCATGGAAAACTAACAGCTTGTCGGACTTGACGGAAATCATTGTCATCGCCGGTAATATAATGAGCCAGGGCTTGAAACAGACGGTTATCGTTCCCTGGAACAACAACTAGAAAATCCGGTTCATCATACATGCTCATCCAACATACCGACGACTCTATCCTGAAATGCTTGTTTTTCTTGTTTGATGCTAATATTTTCGAGCGAAGTAAGCCTTTTTCATGATAGAACAAAATCACTATAAGAAACAAATTCATCTTTCTGAGCATGAGTGAAATTTGCATAAACTAAGCAAAGCAAAGCAGAAAAAATTTGAAAGAACCGAATGAAAAGTACACATACATCCAGCTCTCACGAGGAAATAAACCAATCAGCGCACAAATCTCACTTCGTTTCATTTCGCTTAGTGGTTTGTAAGGAATTGGCTGAAGGCCGAAGGCATTAACGATTTCGTCCTTAAAGAAACGTAACTTAACAATTTACATATCGTCATAAAACTTAAAAATTTTGATCTGTCATTTCGCAACAGCGTTGATTTCTCAGTGATTTAGAATTTGTACGACTGAAGTCATACTACTTTGATTTTCGATCTTCACAGCATTTTCGAAAGTGCATCCTTCTCAGGACAACTATGTATTGCTCTCATTATTTTATTACATCGTGGAATAAATATTTAAAACTTACATCGTCCAGATTTTCAACAGCCTCAATGCTACTACTCATCACTGATATGTTTCTAGGATGGATAAGTTCACTAATACGGGATGACTCCTCATAATAAATTTGTAAATATGCGATAGGTATGACTGTCATCTCATGATGCGAAAATTTCTTGCCTGCAAACAATACAAGAATGAAAAAACATGCAGCTGTAGGAAGAAATAAATAATGAAAGTGAGAAATTTACATGTAATCATATTTTTCAGTTCGTCTGATGGTGAGGATGATTTGTTCTCTTCGAAATAAATTCCCTGTTTGATCTCATCCTGAAATTCGAACTTAAGGCAGTGAATTTTAAATATTCACAAACCACCTAAGGTACCACATAAACTAGTCAAGAAGAGAAAAATTTACTGGACATCCTGGGGGAATATTTTCCTTATTGTCATTCATTATATTTGGAAAGGTTACCAATTCTCTGACCATCTCTGCCTGCAACTGCAAATTTATTTTCTCTTCCGAGAAAAAATAATCTGATGTAGGAAACAACGTGAGACTTATAGTTTCGTATCCCATGATGTTTCCTGCATCAGATTATGCAAAGAATCCCAAACCTCTTCTCTGAATTAAAAAATGATACTTTAAGCATAGTTGTTCCACTTCTTCGATCGCATCCTGAGTCATCCGATAGTCTTCGTTTACGAATCTGCAACTTGAAAACTTTCTTAGAATCATTTCTTATGCATTCAAAAAAAATAAACTGATACCGTGCTCTGTCTTGGTTTCGCCATGGCATTCACGTCCTCATCGCTATGATAGCCAACTGATGCTCGCGATCCTCGACGACTTAAAGAAAATATCAAAATTTTATATCATGACAAGCTAAAGAAATTTCACATGAAATGAAGTTTCATCTGCTTATATGCTGCCATACATACTGGTGGATACTTCAGTTGACTCTTATGAGCTCATATAATCTACGAATGGTTTGCTAATGGATAGCAGTGATTCTTTCAAACTGAAGGGGATTTCACCAATCTTTGATAAATATAACCACTATAAAAAACCAAAAAAACATGAAATTAAATGATACCATAGTCTTTTTTGCGAACTTTCAGTATGTACCAAACACAATTGTTTCAGTTCTTGCGACAGAAATGAGTCCAGTACTTCGCTGGAAGAAATCCGTTCTTGTGACAGTAATAAGTTCAGTACTTCGTTGGGAGTAATCAGCTCTTGTGATAGCAGTGAATACAGTGCATCGCTTGAAGGAATCAGCACTTGTAACAGCACTGACTCCTGTACTTCGTCTCTGGGAGAATAAGGTTCTGGTTGAAGAACATACTCCTCATTCTAAAAAATTAATTTTCAGTTATGACTTTGCTGCACTAGGAATCTCATGCAAATTCAATGAAGTATGCACTTTTTATCAGAAATTTTTTGAACATACTTTGGTTTTGCACATAAGTTATTAGTTTCGTCTCCAATTCCTCTTCCTACCATTTTTTCTTAACTCCATCAGCTGACAATATGCACCTGACTGATTAAAAAAATTTAAACTTACCTCTGAAGAACTATCAACTCCCTCACTGTTGGAATTAGTACGGCATTGGATAAACTTTAATAACTCTACATTGGCAAGTTCTTCCGCTTCTCCATGACTGGCCTCAAACTTTTTTCCTAGAACAGCAGTTCCATCATGTTTCGCATCTGGTTTGCAAGAATCTTAAGCTGATAGTTTCCTTGACTTACTGTGTAAGGAATTTTATTTAAAGTTTGGGGATTTTGGCACGGTTACTTTGTCTGATTTAAATTAGCTGATAGACGGCATTAACCTGTAAACATGTCCGTGTTCACACCAACTTCTCCAAGATCGTCACTAGTCTTTGCAAGGCCACCTATGGTAAGATTGCTCAAGTCAACAGCTAATGAATCGGCTTTTGGATTACCAGCCCGTGTGGACTGTACATCTACAGCTGATGAGTTCGATTCATTTGCTGAATTTCCGAGCTTCAAACGTCGTTTTGCATTCAAAAATATTTTCCTTCCGAGCGGTCTGATGGTTTTGAGATCAATTTCCCTAAAATTAATGCTTTCGCTTCTCAGTAATCAATAGTTCTTTTCATATTTTTCTTGAGTTAAGTAATCTCAACTGAAAAATTTTTAGGTGTTTTTTTGCTTATCGAAATATAATGCAAAATAAATGTGCCTAAGAATCGTTTACTCACTCAGTAGTTGGAGATAAAGCTGGAAACTGAGCTGCTTCACCAATAGAATCTTTCTTCAAAGCTAAATACAGCGGAACTTCAACTTCGTCATCACGTTTTATAACAACGGATTCGTTGAAAAAATAACGTTTGATAAACAGGATAAGACATCTAAAATAAAAATCAGTAGAAAGAAAGTACAAAACAAAGTTTAAATAACAAATTTTTAGATTAGGTGTTACCAAGATCAAAATTAAATGAAAACAAAAATTATCTCGGAATTCGAGCAAATTTCTGGTTTTTCTTTGCCCATGTAAAACCGCAAAATTCGCATTTTCTATTTACGTGCTCAGTCTTCAAGTAGTCATCTAGCAAGGTCTGCACCGTGAGGGATGTCGAAGTTTGTGCTGACCTAGAAATGGAACATTAATAAAATCTGTCTTCCAATCTATCTGGACATGTGAATTCTTTTTTTAAAACTACTACAAGACGTGTCCAGGAAATAAAAAGGTAAGAAACCAAATAAGTGTTTCCATACTTTAAGCATGTAGATCTCGCTTCAATCTTAATTAGAAAACTGATTTATGGCTATGCTCCCTTACCGAGTAATGTCTTGTTCCAGCATCTGGAGTGCGACCGGCAAAATAACATTTTCTTCTTCGTTCTTTGTAACAGTTCCACATCTAAATTGATTTCCCCATAAACAGAATTTGATGGATAACTATTTCCATTGAAATTGAAGAAGGATATTCGAGGCACAGATGACATTGGCTTATCCTTGTCACTAACAGCAAATAGATTAGAAAGACCTATTGCATTTTATGGTGGATTCTATAACGAAGGCAAAATTCGATGTCACTGGATTTCTTCTGTCTCGTTCTTGTTTATCCACAATATCATATTGCTTATACAACATCTGGTCACACTCCTTTTGGACATGATTTAAAATACTAATTAAAAATTCATGAGCGTCCTGCAATTAGAAGATTTTCCATAAAAATTTCTAGTGAATTAGTCGGTAATCTCAAGTTTTACTTAATAAAAATGTTGAATGCAACGATTAGTTTCACTTCATGCTTGTATTTAATCGTGATATATATTTTACAATGCTCGGAAAGCTTTTCCTTCGATCCATAGAAGTTAGTAAAATTAGTTAACAAAACAGCTATCATTAAAAAGTCATTTTAAAAATGAAAGTAATAGTCCAAATAATGATGCAAATTTAAAGAAGATCAACCTGCTGTCCATCATCCATGAAATCGGCTGTACCTTGAATTGCTTCTAACAATTTTGTCTTCAAATCATTTATAGCGCTACACCGTCTTGTTGCAAGACCGGCAACTACTCTAAAACAAGATGCTGCGAGATACATCAAAATTTGGTCTCGCGTTGAGGAATTTGGCCTTTTCTGAAGTAGAATTTTATTCAGTGCTTTCTGCCAAAAAAAAAAATTGAATTTCTGAATACAATTTTTTGTGATGAAATTTGCACTAAAGAAGGATTTTTACTCCATCGTTGTCTATGTTAGTCTCATTTTTGTTAATTGAAATCAGAACAACAAATTTTCCGAAAACAACGAAGCAGGAATAACTTAGAACATTTAATGTTAAATCCCCTGACTAATTATCTCTTATATTCAGTAAAATCAAGAAGGATTCGGTGCAAATCAATCAAAACCAAATAAAAGAAAAAGAACCAAGGTTTTGAAATAAACTGAAGTGTTATTAAAATCGAAAAAGAACAAATAAACAGAAAAAACGTTTCATATGCAGAACTGACTCCATAAATCACTAAGAATATTTGTTACCGCTGAAAGCACCTAAATAATATAACGGACAAAAAACAACAAACCTTCTCAGAAAAATGGAAGTATCGGAGTGTTGAAAGGAAAACAAAAATACATGAATATATGAAAGAAAAAGATCGTTGAAGCAGTACCACGAACAAGGACAAATAAAAAGATACAGAAGAAGGAAAACAGGAGAGCAATCCCTTCTTCTTAACCAATTTAAGACCCAAAAGCTTAAAGATTGCAAAAACCTGATATGCCGATTTTAACAGAACGAACGGGGACCAACAGAAGGAGGAATGAAAAATATTTCGCAATTTTTTTAATTAAGGAATAAAATTACTTAATACATTCTTGACCACCTTTCTTTTGCTAACTGATGCGGATGGGTTCCCGTATCTTACTACTTCAAAAGATAAAGTCGCACATCATATACAGCTAATTTGAATCCGTTAACTTGAACTATTAGTTTTAGCTGTTGCTATGATTCCCATACAATTATGCTCATTGTTCCATGCAACTATAAGGAAGGCATGAAATGCAGAAAAGAATTGAGGATGCAGAGGATAGCGATTCGACTGTTATTATCACTTTAAAGGAAAGGAGAAAAAACTTACAGACTCAAGGGCATTTCTTCATTCAAATTTATGCCACATTCTTCGATTTTCATGCAAAATTTATAAAGATCTTTCACAAAAATCCAATTAGCAAATAAGCTTTGCAGTATGGAAATCATAGAGCACATGTTACCGACACTCGCAAACCTACAACGAGCGATTTTAGAAAATATTTGGAGATGATTTCTTTGACAAACGTTTCATTATCCCTATTTTTGATAGCAGGAATTGTAAATAAATGACTGAAGCAATTCGGCATAATTAGATCAATGAAAAAAAAGCTAATTCTACAATAACTTACCCAGGAGTTCCCGATATCATTGGAGAGATCATAGAAGAACCCTGAAATACACCAGTTTTTTAATGTTATTATTTCTTGTTTCTGTGAGAGATTAATCGTTGTATTGTCCCATCTATTACTTCGCACACACCAACATTAGCGGTGGAATTCTGGGAATATCAATCGATAAGATTTGATATGATTATTATGTAATTTTAGTAACCTTAACAAAAATAGGTTATATACCTCGTGTGGTGTGAAAGGCTACTTTCAAGTGACCTCGTAGCTCATCATTAAATAAAAACGCATTTTACTTTATATTGCGATCATGACATTATATGCAGTGTCATGATCTCTATATAAAGTAAAAAGTATGTTTGTTCAGCTAAATTCCTATGAAATTGTACATGAGAATGAAGGGGATAATCAATAGAAGATGTAAATAAATAGCAAAGGAGGTTCGGGACAACAACACATGACTTTTCATGACATTCGAGGAACTTCTTACAAAAACTCGAGCGATTGCGGAAAAAATTATGAAACCCTCGCAAAATAGTTAAAATATGGAAAGACAAACACATACGGAAAAAGTCCTTCTTTGATGGGTCGTGAAATCGTTCAGAGATAGTCCACTTAACCTGCAAAAATTAAACCGTCAGTGAAATTAAACTTGAAGTGTTTTTATTCTACGCAATTGCATTTGTCTGAATAACACACTCTGCCGAAAGATCCTCAGTTTCTACTGTATCTTGTTCAATGTCATCTTCCACATCGAACGACTGCTTGATTCGCTTTGGCGATGATGGTTTCCATACAAAGCTTCGGTCGATTTCAGAGAATGTCTTCTTTTTTATGGTCAGTCCTAAAGTAAATATAATAAGGTTATGCAAAGTAAGCAATATAAATGTCTATATTCTATTTAAAAAAAATAAAAACTTACTCAAGATGTCTTTTTGCGTTGTATCTTCTTTCTCGAGTTTTTCCCTAAAATCAAACAATAAATTCGAGCCATTCGGTAACATCGTGAACTTTTAGCAAGTTATCAAAGCAGTATTCGAAGAGTTGACCAAATCAACCATCTCAGAGGTATTACAACAAACACTATCATACGTAGACATTTTATTAAAACGATCGGATTCCTACATTTAGTCAAATATTTGCTTTTTTAGATTATCGTTCTACAGATAAATATAAGTAATTAAGTAATTCTTGATAAGTAATTCTGCAAATTCTTAATCCTGAAAGACTCTTGTACGGATTACCGTTTTGCACATTCGCTAGAAAAAAAATCTAACCAAGTGATATATATTCCAGTGCTTATATTTTCCATGATATCACCACGATAAAATAATTCCGGAGGCGTGAACTGAGCAATAACTGTAAAGCAATACAAATTGTGGGATGTTTTGGATATTTATGTCGTAGACATTTGAAATTATTTAGAGGAAGCTTGCCATTGATTGTCATAAAATATTCAGTTTGCAAATGCTTTACTAGAGGTTTAAATGAAAACGAGCCATTACCTAAGTATTTCATCTTCAGTAAATTGTGAGCATAAAGTAAATCGTCATGACTTTTGAACTCGACAAAGATGTCTACATTGGAGGAACCCAAAAATCCAAAACGCATACTATTTCCCAAAGGTGGCGACCAAGGTAGTCCGGCGAATGATTCAAACGGAAAGATCTAAAAGGCAAAACTTTTTCTCACAAAAATGGAAAACCATATGCCATTTCTTACAAATTCTAAAATATTTTCACAAAAACAGTACAGCATTCTATTGAGAAATAAATATTCACAGAGAAATTTAAAGACTGAAAATAGAACTGAAATTCACTTACTATTTCGTCATCGCCAAAGCAAAAAGTGATACCGGCCTTTTCTTCACTGAATGTCATAATTGTCACCTTCGGCCACGATGGTGATTTCAATAGAACAGACAATACCTTAAAATTACGATCCCAATCATCTTCTAAGATAAGAAATACCGTAGAATAATGCCAACTGTGTTATGCAACTTCGTTTAGAACATTCGATTTTGCTTCAGTGAGGAAACGTTACGGTATACGGTATACGGTGTTTGCTCAAGGTTTCATATGAGGCATTGTCATATTTTTACTTCAACAATGTCATGTTCCTATTTTTATACTACGATAAAATAATTCGGGTGCAACGATGCAGTTACACCTCGGACATAGTTAAGTATCAACTTTTCTTCCTTAACTTATGATGCTGCTTAATCATTTATTTCAATCCATTCGTCTATATTTCTAATTAAAGGAAAAATAACCTTGACTCTGAATTGACCTGGTCCAAGCACCAAAGCTGTTGACGTGTTCATATTTTATTAATTCTCCACGATAAGTTCTTCGATAAAAGCTAATAAATAATTACAGGTGAACTGAGGAATATAGAATAAGGTTTTCCGGCTAATTACTTCACTAGAAAATCCCTAATCCTTTTTCCTGATACTCTTCGCTTCCGGACCCAAAAGATAACGCAAGTCAAAAGATCAGATCAATCATGTAAGGATGACCCGGATGCTAATAAAGCTTCCGGAAGATCAAAAGAACGATGTCGGAATGACCTAGAAGCTAATCAAACGTCCCAACGAACGCTTCCCGTACGCAATCACTCTACTCTGTCCACAAACTCATCACTGGCCTACAAGTTGTTGTATTGCGAAAATGTTAACGTTTCAAGCATTCATTCAAATTTCGCGGCTTTCTTGAAAATCTGGTAAATTACTTGAAGACTTATAGGGTTCGTTTTGAGGAAGTATTTTTTAATGATTGCCTTCCAAGTTGAGGGTTCTTAATTCCTGAATTCACTCGGACAGCCGCAAAATCCTAATGTTTTCCGGACCATGGCAGATAAGAAAGTCATCTCGTGTACTCTTTTCTTTCCTCATTTTTCATCTCAAAGTAATTTGGTAATATTTCTGACTCAATTATCCTAGAGATCAAATCGCGAAATAAACAACAACTTATTGCGTTATAATCATCTGAAAAACTCAAAAACTTTGCGGAAAACAGCGCTTAAAGATATCAAGAGATGACTAGAAATCAACGCGAGGATCCCAATGTACGCATCTTAGCGCTAACAATATATCATCGGCTGTGAAAGAAAGTGATGCGAGCCTTGTCGAGGGTAATAACCGTACGGAAACTTGAAAATTTCATACAAGTACAGTATGTATTTCCAGAACGGAAGAATCAAGAGAATAGATGCAAAGGAGCATTTTGTGATATTCTGAATTATTCACATGTTTTTACAGTTGATATATTTCTCCTCCAAATGGATAACAAGAAGTAGCAGAAGGATCAGCAGTCTGACGTTTTCCATGAAATTCCGCTCATTTCATTATCATAGAAAAAACAGAACAGAGATGAAAGAGATGATTCTACGAGAATTTTGGATATCGATGGCGACGGAAGGCAACAAGTTGTTGTATAATTTTGACAGCTTTTTTTTTGAGTAACAGCCAGAAGGTAGCAGAAGTGATACGTGGTGGCGTATGTAGTGATACGTAGTGGTACTGTGATACGTGGTGGCGTATGCTACAATTTTGAGACGTATCATCAGACAGATTGATGGAGAATAGACAAAGATTTGATGGATAAGACAATTTGTTTACTGATAATTCCATTCTAAAATTTACTATTTCATTTGGGCAAAGTAACCTAAATGCANCTTTTTTTTTGAGTAACAGCCAGAAGGTAGCAGAAGTGATACGTGGTGGCGTATGTAGTGATACGTAGTGGTACTGTGATACGTGGTGGCGTATGCTACAATTTTGAGACGTATCATCAGACAGATTAATGGAGAATAGACAAAGATTTGATGGATAAGACAATTTGTTTACTGATAATTCCATTCTAAAATTTACTATTTCATTTGGGCAAAGTAACCTAAATGCAACTTTTTGATGATAAATTTGGTAAATACCGTTGAAAATAATAAGATACGAAGAAAATAAGAGAAATTAGCGTCATAATTACCCTCATAATTATCTATCTATACATAACAAGAATTAGGATCGAACTTAGAAAATATTTTTGGTCAATATGATTACAAGAACATGTAAAATAAGCGAAATTAAAATAAAAGAAATTAAATGATTTGCTTTTTATTTACTTCTTATTTTTCAGTTTTTTTTGATTTAATCACGTAAGCTGCGATAAACTTGTCTGATTTGACGAACGAATGAGCAAACACCGCCGCACAAACCACCAAATTACGACGCAAATGATAATATGACCGATTAAAATTCCATTTTGTAACAATTGCGAAAATAAAAAAAAAAAAGAAATCAATCAACTTTCTCATTATACAAATTTATAAAACAATATTTTCAACGAAACACTACCATTTTACGATTTCATCAAACAAATGCTTATTGAGTGATATGAATGAAAATGCAAGCGGTCGTTGATTAATTCAATGATTTCTTCATGATTTATCCATGAAGATTCTTATCATGCAAAAGAAGTGAAGAGCAAAAAAAGTCGATGATATGTGTCATTGAATTAATTCGCAGATTCACAGCTCATAAATGGAAACTTATTGAGAGGAATTCGAAGAGAATGATGGAAATGATTTAAACAATCAAAAACTATATAGCATTCCATATGTGACATCTACCTTTTGTTACCGTCATAATTGTCTATGTGCATTCAATACAAGAATTAGGGTCAAACTTAGAAAATATTGACGATCAATATGATTACAGGAACATGTAATTATTAAATTTGAATATATATACCTTGTTCAAAGTATAACCAAACTTCTGAATAATTTTTATGTTACGTATTATACGTCATCTTTTCAACTTAATTATGAGATAAGCAGTTGAATTAATTGGATGATAATAGTTATTGTATGATAATGATCATATGATAATATTGTTATATGAGTGCATGATAATTGTATGATAGTATTGATAACATTATTTAATAATTTGGTTGAAAAAAAGTGTAATAACAATATATGATATATGATATCATCAGCCTATATGGATCAATTTTCATTCAGATGTAATGCTCACTCCATTTTTCCGCTTTTTTCCATCATAAAAAAATGAAGATCAGATCGAAAGAGATAAATTGTATGGATAGCAATTGGAACTATTGTTTAATCATTTTCTCATAATTAGCAAAAATTTTTTAATTATTAAACTCAACAAAAATATTCAATCTAATCTTTTAAAATACAACATACTTCTCCAACAGGTAGATAGAAAACGTAAATGTAATATCGCACAAAAAAGAATTATTTTTAAATGAAATTTTGATATGTATCAGAGAGCAATTTCTTTTCGAATCAAATATTAAAGATATTAAAGTTCGAATAATTTTAAGATAAGTACTTCTTACGATGTTATTTATATTACATGAATATTGATTACCTTTTTATTTTTTTAAAATAATAAATCAATTAGCAATATTACAATTTATTTTCATGTATCATCAACAATAAGCATTACATGATATTAAATTGCATGATTTTTCTTTTTGAATCATCAGAATTGCTCGATCGAATGATAATTGTAATGTAGGATTCGTATTTTAACAATTTTTACAATTTATAATTTTATGATTCATCCCGAATACAGCTGCAAATTTTATGTTAACGAAATAATCAAATTATTAAATTTTAATTTTTACCCTTTAATTAGCTTAATGATGTTTTCGTAATTCGTTTTTTTCGCTTATCTTATAATAATGAATTTAAAGAAATAAATCTTTAAAAAAAGGAGAATTTTGATTTATTGGGAAAACAAAAAAGTTCCTCTCTATTGATATATTATGCTTAATGAATTTTATGTTTAGCAAAAAATTTGATATTTCCGATAATTTGTTCAATTTGAGCTTCGATAGATCTCAGAACTTCTGAGAGATAAAATATTCTTTCTATACGATCTTTGTTAATTTACAACTGAATAGTTTTATATAATCAAAAAATTATGAATTAATATTTCTTAATTAATCAATTTTTGGCGTTTCTTTTTTTCAGCATTGTTTTTCCTACTTTACAAAATTTCCACATTTCTCAAGTCTTTCTTCCTCCTCCCTTCTCCTTATCCCGCTTTTGCTTCAGCATTCGCCACCGCTTCTACCCCCCGTTTGTATCATTTGCGAAAGACAAAGCAAAGTAATGATGAAGATGAAAATTTGACGAAATATTTGTTTACCTTTGTTTACCAAATTCTCATCCTCATCATTCTCATTGAAATGTGATAAACTTTTATTTATAGCAAGAAGATAAGATTACTGCAAAAAAAGAAATTTAACTTAAAAATTTTAGCTGAGGTCAATAATTAAATTTATTACTTATCAAATTTTATTATTCATTGGATTGATATTTAAACAAAATTTCGTTTGTTTATTGTTTGTTAAATTTATATCCTATTAAATTCACTCTTTTTTTCTCTTTCTCTCTCTTTTCCTTTGTTATATTTTTCATTTCATTTCTCTTTGCAAATTTGATTTTTCTCTTAAAATGAATAAATTTTTGTAAAAAAAAAGTAATTATAATTACATATTTATTTTATATTTTTTATGCGATTGAATTTGTTATTTTAATTTAAATTATTTAATTGTCAACTTTCTGTCAACTTTATTTCAATCATTTATCATCCATTACAATTTCATAGTTCTTTTTCACGTTTAAAATGACGTAGATAACGTATAAAACCTATTATATACGTTATCTACGTCATTTCAAAAGTTTTTCTTTATAAATTATATTAAATGAAAAATTCGTGTAATTTACTTTACACGAATTTTTCACTTAATACAGTTATTGAAACAAAAAATTTGTTCTCATTCTTCTTCTTCTAAAATTGATTCAGAAAACGGAAAAATCAGAATAGGAAAACAAACCATAATATTTCTAATCAGGTTTCCTTGAATAATTTGCTTATGACGGAATCAAAAACTAGAAGTATTATTGTAAGGTAGTAAATTTTGCATGAATTTGTACGATCTAAATCAATAGCGAAGAAAACTTTCAAATAATCTGCCCATTGGCAATTTCCGGTTTGCTCATTTCTTTCCGTCTTTCAAGTTATATCTCACGTAACGTTACATCGACAATAGCAATGGAAATTGAAATAACAATTATGCCAGCAATGTTAACATCTATTTGAATGAAATATGTCATTCGTGCCCATTTCTATGAGATATTATGAAATTCAAATAATCCAATTAACGATACTTGAAAAGTGTCATTGATTGGATTATTTAAATTTCTAAGGTAGATAAATAGACAGGCAGATGGATATATTTATTTTTTCTCTTTTATATTTATATCTACATAATTACAGCTTCTGTTCACCTATTCTATTAATTTGCAACCTTCGTTATCATATCTGATTCATCAATTCTTCGTTTCATTTATCCGAAATTATCATCGAGCATAACATTCCCCGAAAATTACCTCGTCAAATTGCGTTTACCTGAAAAAGTCCGTGTATGCATTTTCTCAGAAAACAATCTTAACTGAGAAGGTTGTATATATATAAAAGGTTTCAAAGAAACCGAAAATAAATTTTAATTTGAAAATGTTAAAAGTATTTACTGTCAGTATTATCTGATGGTATGAGCGAAAACAGGGTGCGGCTGTGATATATTACCCCCTGTCTATTTTCTACGTTGTTAAGAACAACTTATTAGCGCAAGATAGAGCAACAGAATAGCAATCCATTTTCTGTACACTCTGCTGTAACCACCATCAAAGCGAATTAATTAATTGCAAATTTTCCTCAATTAATTTATCGCAGATTTTCCAGATTTCCTAATGTTCATTCGCAATTGATCCGTTAGTTACAGACTTCCTCAAATTTTATTTCGTTTGCATTTTTTCATAACTATATATACATATGTAAAAAGCGTAACGATTGGAAGATTTCAAACTGTAAACATTTTTAAGAATATCATTTTTTTTTTAAGAGCTGTAAACATTTTTAAGATTTATTTATATTTAATTATACCAACATTTAAATTATATACTATTCTGAATTTATCTGTTATTTTCTTGAAAGAAAACATATTATCTTCAGATGCGATAAACATTATTATACAATTATTTGACATTGATCAAAGCTTATCATCGCTATTCCTATCATTATTCAATCATTTACAATTAACATTATTAACTATGAATTAATTTAATCACATTAATTAACTACAAAAAAATTAACTTATTACTAATTACTTATTACAATTTACAAATTACTAATTGCTAATTAACTGCAAAATACCATTTGAAGCAATTTTTACGCAATTTTTGAATCATTTTATTTTGCTTCATTAATGATATATTCTCTTTTAATCGAATCACTGCTATTTCTCGAAATAAAATTTGTTTAATTAATTTATTTAAATATTTATTTTCTTTTCTTCCAACCAAAATTGCATCAAAATGAATAACATTGTATTAATTTTAATTAAATTTAAAGCGTTGTTAAGAATTTTATGTCTATTTCCAAAAAATTCATACACAAATCCATTTTTAATTTGTTGAACGATCTTCTTTTCCTGGTAGATATCGGGAAAAACAATGCAATATTTTTAGCTTACGGTGATAAATATCGGGAAAAACAGTGTTAATACTTTTAGCTTACGGTTAAATAAAGCACTAACTCATTTGTCATTTCATATTTTAGGCATACTACGATATATTTTTGAAGATAATTTCAAGAAAAGCCTTTTTTTTTCCTTTCCACTTATTTTAGCTTTTCTTATTTATCCCTAAGGGAAAGTTCTTTTCTATCTCCTACAATGTCAAATTTTCATTTAAAGAGATGAAGAAATTTGTCGAAACTGCAACATTGTGGGAAAGTAATTTGTCTTTTTTGTAGTCATATAATGATAAGTAAAAGAGCAGAAATGAGAAACAGAAATTAAGTAAATAAGTATAATTCAGTAAATGAGTTCCAAATTTAGTTCAAATTTTCATTTAAAGAGATGAAGAAATTCGTCGAAACTGCAACAGATAGCAGAAATGAGAAATAGAAATTAAATAAATAAGTATAATTTAGTAAATGAGTTCCAAATTTAATTTTTCATATTGATGATAAAATTTATCGTCCACAGTTTATTCGTTTTTTTCTTTTGCAATCGTATTGGTAAAATGTATTTCAATGTTTATGTTTATGTTTATGTTATTTACAATTGCCTGTAATCATATACAAATTTGAAAAATGATAGCTGTTCAAATATATATATGACAAAAAAATACTTGTGTACAGACAGACACACACACACACACGTACACACACACACACACACACACACACACACACACACACACACACACACACACACGTATATATATATTTACACATGATATGTTTATTTGATTGTAGAAGACTTTCCTCGCCTTTTTTTCCCCTTTTTTTCCCGTTACATTATTATATCGGTATCTCTTCAGTTTTTTTCGCTTCTTTTTCAAACTTTATAATTTCTCTCTCTCTCTCTCTCCCTCTTGAGAAAGAAATGGGAAAAAAAAGGAGAAAATTTTAAACTTTAAATTTAACATTATGATTTGATGATTGATTTATATATTTATATATATATATATGAATATATGAATATATATATATGTAGAGAGAGAGAGAGAGAAGGAGGAGAGGGAGGTAAAAGATAGGGAGAGAAAGAGAGAAGAAGAGAAAGAGGAAAAGAGAGGTAGAAATAGGAGGGAAAGTTATCGTAACAAAATGCTATAATCCATCCCATCAAAATTTTGGTTTCAATGTTTATCAGTTGTATCGTTATGTGGCCCTAAAAGCTGTCAACTGTTTCATTTAGGATATTGAAAGAAGAAATAATTTAAGTTTTTAAAACTTTTTTTTTTTTAAATGATTTTTCTTTTCTTTTAATTATTTCTAATTAAGTAATAATAGTAATATTAATGATAGAAAAGATAATATCATTAATTTCATATAGTCATATCAAATAGATTGCTCTCTTCTTCATGTTGTCATCGAAAATTTTCATACCCATACCTTCTCCTCAATGATATATGATACAGTTGTTTCACAGATGATAGTTATTTACTTCCTCATTGTTGTAGTACTGTTACTTTCAATCGTCTCTTTCTCGTATTTCTTCAAAAAATTTTTTTTTGATAACATTCAATGATTCAATGTTATATATTATGTGAAAATATGCACGAATTAAATATATAATTAAAATAAATTATATGTAATTAAAATAAATTATATTACCCATTTTTGTTTTCGTTGAAGTTAAATTAATTAAGATTTCATTGATTAAAATGATAAATTGCTGAATATTTTCACTTGCAATAATTCATTTTAATTTTCACTAACTTTTTTTTTGCAATTTTTTTTAATTGTTAATTAGCTTAATTTAATTGACCTTTTTTTTTTTGTTGCTTTTTCAATCACATTAAATAACATTAGATGTAATATCATTGTTGTACTTTTTCTTTTATCTGAATTTAAACTATTGTTTTTAGGGAAATTCTTGAATTTGTTATGTAAAGGTTAAGATTTTTATTTTGTGCTTCGAAGTTATATGTTAAATTATTATATGTTACAATAATATTCAATTTTTATATTTAAATTTATTTCTAATATTCTAATATTTTAGGGGGCTTCCATTTGATCACTTTGGTATGCGCCCTTCTCATTCTGTAGCACAATGCATATTGTTGCTCTGTTACCTTTTTACATCATCAATTGAACATGGTATGTTTGTTTTAGTTGCTATTTTCCCGTTTCTCTTTTTTTCTTTAGCTTTTCCTTGTCTTTTCATTTGGATTAAAATATTTTAAATAATGAAATTTGAAATTAAAGAAAAATTAAAATTTTTTCAGATTTTAAGTTTTTCTTTTTCATCTATTGATATCTACAAATTATTAAGAAACGAAATGATTTAATTACTTTAAAAAATGAATTTAACTTATGAAAAGTAATGAATGATATAGCTAATAACAAAAACGATAAATTACTTTAACTCCAAAAAATTATAACTTTTTATTTCATGATCTTTTTTTTATAGATGATTTGATGTTAAATTGATAATAGGAATTGTTTTAATTTGTTTTTTCAGAACCACCAGAAGAAGATATTTGTAATGAACGATCATGTTATCCTGCAACTGGTAATCTTCTAATTGGACGAAAGAAAAGTCTTAGTGCGACATCAACATGTGGTTTACATGGTCGACAACGTTATTGTATTGTATCACATTTAGAAGAGCAAACAAAATGTTTTTATTGTGACAGTAGAACAGAGTGGAAACCAAATCGGGAACCATATAAATTGAGCCATAGGTATGTATCCATTTTACCGTTTGGTGCAGTTTTTAGAGTCGTATGTTGAAATGATTGTGTCACCTTAATGTTCATA